AGCCGAAGGCAGAGGCTTAACCCACTGAGCCACCCAGGCGCCCCTCATACTAAATTATTTTGTTAACACCTGTTAGTTAACTTATTTTTAGGAACTACTCTGTAAAATACAGAAATAAGTTATAGGAGATAACAAAAGAAAAGTTCAGAAGTCTTCAGGGGAAGAAGTATTTGGGTGGATTTCTTGTTTCATCTATTTTTGTGTGTGCGTCATTAGGTAAATAGCAAATATATTTGGTTCATTTTAACTTATGTTTTTGGTATACCTATTATGTGCAAACTGTGAAAAGTTTTGATTAGGTAATAATCCGCCAGTTTAAGTTTTGACCCACAGGATGAAACTATGATGTGAAGTAGGATCGATTTAACTAGCACACTTGGTAGATGAATTTTTGTATATTGGGTATGTGCTGTGAGCTGTGAGGTCTTTTTATTTAATCTTTATAACAGCAGTGCAGGGTGTTGACGTAATTAGTTCTGTTTTACAAATGAGAACATTTAAGCAAAAAGAGGTTAAGAGGGGCGCCTGGGTGGCTCAGTGGGTTAAGCCGCTGCCTTCGGCTCAGGTCATGATCTCAGGGTCCTGGGATCAAGCCCCGCATTGGGCTCTCTGCTCAGCGGGGAGTCTGCTTCCTCCCCTCTCTCTCTGCTTGCCTCTCTGCCTGCTTGTGATCTCTGTCTTCAAATAAATAAATAAAATCTTTAAAAAAAAAAAAAAGAGGTTAAGAACCTTGCCCAGGTCACTAGTAAGTGCTGAGCAGAGATTAAAACCCAGTTTTCCTGATTTCAAAGTTAAGAAAATTACTGTTATTTATAAATGAAGTTTATGTACTTTGGATATTCTTTTCCAGCTTTTTAGGCAGGACACACAAAGAAGGGCCCAGGTGACTTGGGGGGCTGTTTATTCTTCTGGGACAGGAAAAGATGCAGACTTCCGAAAGTTCTGAAAATAGTAATGTTTGTTCAGTGATCTAGCCAAATTAATACAGAACACATCTCCATTATACAATCTATTACCTTCCATTGGAAAACCTTAAAGATTGCCCTCAGAAAGTTTGTCATTTAGTTTTAATGAATTTGTGCTTAAGAATACAGAGAGAGGAGACACCTGGGTGACACAGTTGGTTTTGTGTCTTGACCCTTGATTTAGGGTTGGGTCTTGATCTCTGGGTCTTGAGTTCAAGACCTGCGTATGCTGGGAGTGGAACCTAATTTAAAAAAAAAAAAATGCTGAGAGATTGAGCCCATTTGAAATAGTGTTACCTTTGTTCCCAAACTTACATTGTAGATTTCTTCTAGTACAAATTGTGTTGTATCCATATGTTTTACTTTACAGTTGGAAGTTTCCTGGTGGCCAGAATGATTTCTCTCTCTCTTTTTAAAGGTTAATTTATTTGAGAGAGAGAGAGAGAAAGAGGGTGGTGGAAGGGGCAGAAGGAGAGAATCTTCAAGCGGACTCCCAGTGGAGCATGGATCCCGACTCAGAGCTGGATCTCACAATCCATGGGATTGTGGCCTGAGCAGAAACCAAGGAGTTGGGCACTTAACCAACTGAGCCACCCAGACACCCCAAGAATGATCTCATTAACATTTTCTTATTCTTCGCTGGTATCAGAGAGAGATACTATGTTTAAAGTTTGCACAGAGAGAACCAGTATTCTAAGACTGCTGTTTGTGATGGGCTGCTGAAGACTGCTAATTTTGGTGGAATTTCCAAATATATTTATAATATATAAAAAGGGAATTTAGTGTGAATCTGATGTAAATTATTCTTTTTAAATACAGTTATGAATGAAAGCTCTTCTCTGGGGTGTTTTAGACTAGCTCCAGCCTTGTCCATCACAGCTTGTGGTAGTTGTGATTTTAGCACATGAGGCAGTTATATTCATAGTTCTGATCATGGGAACGTCTTGTTCTCAGTGTCTTCTTTCTTATTCCCTAGGGAATCTTACGAAAATTTCAAGAAACGGTGGCTTTTCCCCCACTAGAATTTTGAAGCTTATAAGTGGCCTGTTGATTTTGTATTTTCTTGTTAGTATGGGTATACAGAATGAAAATAAGGAGCTTTACAGGTAGGGATGACAATTTGATTTCAACCATGATTAAAATTTAGAAGAAGCATTTACCTTAGATGTTTTTGAGATAGCCTCAAAAGTGGTCAATTTTACTGTAATTTACTAGAATTTCTGTGATGCTAAGACACTTTTCTTCTACATTTAACCCTTCTAAATTTAGGATATATTTAAAAATCATTGGCTTCTTAGAGTCTGTGAAAGATAGTAATTAGGATATCAATTCTGCTGTTGTAACAGAGAAATCCAAAATACTAGGGACTTAATGAAAGAGAAATTTCTTTCTTTCTTCTTTAAGAGTCCTGGAGGCGGTCCAGGGCTGGCCCTTCCCATTATGTTACTCATCCTTAACATGTAATTTGTGTCTTGTGGTTCAGTATGACTGCTTCAGCTCTCATCATCACGTCTGCATTCCAGCCTACAGGCTGGAACAGGGAGACTCTTTCCTTTGCTATTAAGGCGACTCTTGAAGGTTGTTTCATCTGTAATTTCCACTCCCCTTAATCACAGTGGTCACATCCAGCTGCAAAGGAATTTAGGAAATGTAGTCTCTCTTTATTGGGGACCACAAGCTTAAGTGAAAATTCTGTTACTAAAGAAGAAAGGAAGAACTGGCAGACCGCTAGCAGTCTCTGCCACAGTGGTCAATGATTACTTTCTGCCCAGTATTGATTAAACTCTACATAAAAAATTCACCTGGTAACAATAATCAGGAGAAATAGAAGGTATAAGGACTGAACTTGAAATAGATTTGTAGGCACCTGGAAAATATTCTGTAGAATGATCAGAGTTCTCTGCTTACCTTTCTTTTCTTCACTGTGAATTGAAAAGAAATTCTACAGAAGACCTTATTTATTTATTTTTTTTTTACCAGAACATTATGCTTTTTTTCAGCAGTACATTCAGGAGCGTGAGAAGACAGCTATTCTTCTTTCCTCTTCTTTATTATTATGTAAAAGACATTCTTTAGGAGTAATTCTCTATAATTCGTACTCAGTGTGCTAAATTATTTTGATAAGTAATTTTGATTTAGTTTAGGGTTTAAGATCTTTAACGTTTAATATTGTATTAGTATGAGTGCTTCTTCAGTGCATTATAAGCAGAAGGGAAGGAACAAGATAAAAGGAGGTTAAATAAAGAGAAATACAATCAGGATGATTTTGATGGGGAATGGGAGAGTGTATATTTCCTGTTTAAGTTACTCCTGCTGTATCTACAGAGATGTTAACAGGCATTTATAACTCATCATGATTAAGAGTTGTGATGGATACTGTAGGACAAAGTAGGCATGGCAGCCAGCCCACCCAGTTAGGCGGTTCTGACATTTTTATGTCTAGTAAGGTGGTGGTTTTGGCAACCCCTTCAGGATTGTAATTGAACTAGGACTTTATCTTAAAATGTAGGAACACAGGGCATGATGTTTCTTTTTTATTCTCCCAGAAAAGTTTTAAAGTTTTCATTGATGGCTTGGTTGGGTGGCTGGCCCTTGGTTTCAGCTCAGGTCATGATCTCAGGGTCCTAGGATTGAGCCCCATGTTGGGCACCATGCTCAGTGGGGAGCCCGCTTTGAGGATTCTCCCCCTTCTTCTGCCCCTCCCCTGCGTGCATGCTTTTTCTCTCTAAGATAAATAAGTCTTTAAAAAAAATCTTTTTTTTCGTTAACTCTAAGATGCCATTTATCCTGATTTCTTAGATGTCAAAATGTGTGTGGGGGGGGTGACTGGTAATGATTTTAAGAATCCTTCAGTAAAGACATGTTTTGATTTTAGAGATGTTTGTTTACTTATTTATAAGAGATTTTATTTATGGGGGAGCACAAGTTGGGGGGATGGGCTGAGGGAGAGGGAGAAGCAGACTCCCCTCAGAGCAGGGAGCCCAATGTGGGGCTCCATCCCAGGATCCTGGGATCATGACCTGAGCTGAAGGCAGATGCTTAACCAACTAAGTCACTCAGGCATCTGATTTTAGAGATGTTCAAATGTGAAAGCAAGCATCTATGAACTGATGAAATATAATAAATCTTCAGTGCATTTGTAATCAGTAGCTTCTTAGAGTGGAGAACTATAGTAAGATAAACTAATTTTATCTGTTCATAAGTCATTGTGCTTTAGAGTGATCTCTTTATTATAAACATGTAGGTTTTGGCCTCTTCATGCCATGAATATTGAGTCAGTAACTAGGCAACCTGGTGTCAAAACAGCTGCTGAGACCAGGGATCACCCTGATCTTTGTCCAGTTCCTCTGTTACAAGGGGTTGGTGGTGGTGCTCTGTAGCCTGTGGGTTACAGCCTGAGTAACTGTAGCTCTAAGAGTGGATGAATGGACCAGTCTTTAAATCAGTGACTTCTGTATTGCAGTCTAGGACAAATACACGCGTGTACACACTACACACAACTGAAGGAAGAGTTTCACACAGTCACTTGGCACACTACATGAGATTCATTCTGAAATGGCCTCTTCTCTTTCTTTTTTTCTGTATAATTTTGTTATTAGAGCACATGTGCAGTGGGGGAGGGGCAGAGAGCGAAAGGGAGAGAGAGAAGCCCATGCAGGCTCCACACCCAGTGCAGAGCACAGGGCTTGATCTCATAACTTCTTGAGATCATGACCTGAGCCAAAATCAGGAGTTGGGACACTTAACTGAATTACACAGATGCTTCCTTCTCTTTCATGATAGAAATAAATATGTTGCCCTTTACACTACTTTGGACTTTTAAAGACGTTGAAAACAACAGGGATCAGAAACTTAAGAGAATTGACTCTCATTTGTTATTATGACTTTAAACCAGTCACAATTTTTCTTTTAAGGTTCTTTCAGCCACAGTAGTTGGGGTGCTAGTTCTGTTTTTGCTCTGAATGAATCTTTTGCTAGTAGAAGAAATAAATATATCACTACAAATGAAACAAATGTCCTTCATCTCTTTTGTAGGTCATCACTGAATTTTGAAGTATTTTAAGTGGATACAAAACTGTTTCAGCAATGCAGACAATTAAGTGTGTTGTTGTGGGCGATGGTGCCGTTGGTAAAACATGTCTCCTGATATCCTACACAACAAACAAATTTCCATCTGAGTATGTACCGACTGTAAGTATAAAGGCTTCCATTTGTTAGTGAAATGTTTTCTATTTGGATCTTTTGAAAACTCTGTGTGTACTGAAACTTTTCTGTTGTCTGCCTTTGTGTCCTGTTTTTAAAGATCTGTCATGGGTAAATTATATTCACTTTAAAATTAATAGCTGAAAAATCAGTAAAGAGTCAGAGGGGTGATACAAGGTTTTGCAAGAAGTGCTGGGAGACCAAACTCCAATAGACAAGATTCTAAAGAGTGGTGGTCTCAGTTTGGAGAAGTATGCTCAGTGTCTTGGAATGAGATGACTTTTGGGTGGCGGTGGGGAGGAGTGGATAACTTGGCCAGTGAGGAATCAGTGCTTGGAGTCTAGGATGCTTTTTGGGGTCTTGTAACTTCAGAGAAAGTAGTATGTGTCTCTATTTATTTTCTGTAGGGGGTAGAAGAGAATCTCATGGAGCTGTTGTTTTAGCAGTAAATGGAGCTCCAAATTGCTTTTAAAGGGCAGAGACCTGTTTTGTTAGGAGAACACTAGCAGAAGCCTTTGGGCATTCTCTCCCACAAATGCTATGCATTTCTTTCTTTCTTTCTTTCTTTCTTTTTTTTTTTTTTTAAGATTTTATCTATTTATTCGACAGACAGAGATCACAAGTAGGCAGAGAGGCAGGCAGAGAGAGAGGTGGGGGAAGCAGGCTCCCCGCTGAGCAGAGAGCCTGATGTGGGACTCGATCCTGGGACCCTGAGATTCTGACCTGAGCCGAAGGCAGAGGCTTAACCCACAGAGCCACCCAGGTGCCCCCCCCCCAACAAATGCTTTTTATCAGCTCCTTAGAAGAGTAGGGGGAAAATGGGAATAACAAAGACAGTGAAGTGAAAGAGAAGAGTTCTTTGGAGTGACAGTGACTTGTCCTTGAAGGAATGTGTTTGGAAGGATCCACTGTTCGTTCCAGGTTGGGTGACCCAATCCAGTGGTATAATTATGTTAAACACAGGCGTTCCTTCAGTATGCATGCCGAGCTAGGGTTGGCCTGGCTTTCAGTAACCACCTCTGTTAAGTGAGTTATTTTAGGGGTTATGAAGAACCTATATATGATTAATATGAAATTAGTATTGTTTGGATGTAAAAAGGAAGAAAATGTCTGAATACTTCAGGTTAATCTTAAGAGACATGAACATTGTTAAGAGAATGAATACAGGTTAAGGGCTTGGTGATTTTGTTTAATTAGAATTGACAGTTTGTAATATCCCGAAGCAGATAAAGTGAGGTAGGCCAAGGCTGTAGGAAGCAGGAAGGTTAAGTTTCTTGGAGGGGGAGAATTTGAGGTATAATTAATATAAGATCATATTTTGGGATTGACCCATTTGTGACTGGGACATGGTAAGTGGAAAGTTTTGAGGTTAAGAGGGACTTGTAGGGGATTTTCAGAGACACAGGAATCTTGTTTCAGAGTGAGGACAGCTATTGGAATTTTGGCGTTTCAGTCTCCATTAAAATTACTCTCTTGTAACCATGATTTCTGAGTCTGTGTTAGATTTTGGTCATGAGGCGTTCTGTTTAAGGGGTCTATCAGGTGTTTCATACATGTGTTTGTATGTGGGTATCTGAAAGACGGGTTAGGTAGGACTTAAATAATCTATGTGGTTGAGAGTTTAACCACATTCATTATAATTTTCCTTGTTTTTTAAAAAAATATTTATTTATTTGAGATAGAGCAAGAGAGAGCAGGGGCAGAGGGGGAGAGGGAGAAGCAGACTCCCTGCTGAGCAGGGAGTAGGCCACAGGGCTCCATCCCAGGACCCAGGGTTCATGACCTGAGCTAAAGGCAGACACTTAACTGACTGAGCCACTCAGGTGCCTCTTTCTTGTTCTTGTTATCGAGAACTGACTTTCCTTTAACTACCACCTGCCTGGTGCCCTTGCTTTCACTCTTGTTTACAAACAATCCGTTAAAGCTTGAACCAGAAAGTTAGAATTAGATGAAGCAGGGCTGATCTGAAAATACAAAGTCCTTCTAGTTGGAAAGATTGCTTTTCATTTGTCAGTTCGGAAGAATCCATGAATTATCGTTGGGTCTTTTTTCATTTAGCACCATTACCTCCCATTTTCACGAATAATTTAGCACAACCAATATTAGTATATACTGAGTTTGTCATGGGTTTTACAGTATTCGAAAATAAAAACATTTAGTCACAGAGGGTCTCTTCAGTCATGTGGTTTGTATTCAGTAACATAAGTTTTATTCATGAAATCTCAACAAATAATCTGCCAGCCTTTTCTTGGACACTTTCCTTGACTTGAGGGAACCTTTATTTCTCTCTGATGGGCTTGTTTGTAACAAGGCGCTTCTTGTCTTGAACCCTGAAAGGAAGATTATCATGGATCTAGGATATTTAGATTCTAGATTAAAATGAAATGGTCTATGAAGAATTAATTTCTTAGAAATCAGATTGAGCATTAAGATAAATTGTAAGCTTACTGTCTCAAAGTTTTAAACTTGAAGAGGATTGTTTTGTGTAGCTCGGGACCCTGCTTCTGTGACACCTCTAGCTTTTCTGTGGCTTTTAATCCAGGCTGCTGGGGTAGAGCAGACCTCCCAGAATACATTCCCTGTCACTTTTTCCCAAGAATCATTTAGTTCATGCAAGGGTTTAGTTGGCAAGGTTTGTTACATAAGAACAATTTGGGCTAAGAGAGGTTTAAGTCTTAGGAAGGAAATAATTGCCTTTACTTAAGAGTTGTTCTATCCCATTTTGACCATCCCCTTGCATACTAATGATGTTGTATTTTTGTGTTTTTAGGTTTTTGACAACTATGCAGTCACAGTTATGATTGGTGGAGAGCCATATACTCTTGGACTTTTTGATACTGCAGGTGAAAACTTGATATCTTTTATGTTTTAGTCTATAAGTATTAACAGTTGCTGGTTGTCTGTCTTTTTTTGTGGACATTTTGGGAAACTAGCATATTAGTAAACCACTTGCCTTTTGTTAATACTTTAGTAGGATTGGATGTCATGATGGCCGATACTTGACTCAAGAGGCAGTCCCAGAGCTGGAATCGCAATAGGAGTTTGGAGTTCCTTGGGTGCATGGTGTGGAAGGAAAGAAAGTAGGGTGAGAGCAGAGTACATTAGGCAAGCTGTATTGTCACTCTCTGAAATTTGAAGGCTTATTTAGGATTTGTGTCTGTATAATACATGTGCGGATAGCTTCTTAGATAGTTTGTTATTTTAACTACATCTGAAACTGCTTTGAACGTGAACCAGTACCTAGCTCATATTATTGACCTTTGTGGTCAGTTTTTGAAATTAAAGGAATAAATTGCTTTCTTCCTTAAGTATACCTAGTTTCTCAGTGTTATTTCCTCGTTGTTTTAACAGTGGCTGCACACGTCTTTTTTTTTTTTTTTTTTAAGATTTTATTTATTTATTTGACAGAGATCACAAGTAGACAGAGAGGCAGGCAGAGAGAGAGAGAGGAGGAAGCAGGCTCCCTGCGGAGCAGAAAGCCCGATGTGGGGCTTGATCCCAGGACGCTGGGATCATGACCTGAGCCAAAGGCAGAGGCTTTAACCCACTGAGCCACCCAGGCGCCCCGTGGCTGCACGTCTTAATTTCTGACTTCTCTCTCTGTAGTCTCAGTTATTATCAGCTTAATTAGCCAAAGGAAAATTTCAGAAAGGTAATCTTTTCGTATTTAGGAATTCTAAGTGCTTCACATCATATGTGTGCTCCTCTCCCTCTCTGCCAGCCAACATACTGTTCTGACGGAGTTATGGTGTACTGCTCACCTTTAGGGACTGTCTAGATTTAGTTGGGAGGGTGAAGTGGAGAGATAGTGGGACAGTGGTAAGCAGTTCATTTTAGAGATCAGTGGCTTTCTGATGTTGGTTTAGGCCCCAAAATGTTCATGAATTAAAATTTACAAGAGTAATGGTGTATGGGAGGAAACTTGGAAAATAGAAAAAATAATGACCTGTACTTCATTATAGGTGAGGGATTTTTCTGTGTTTGTGTGTGCCCTTGGAGGCAATCTGTATGCAGAAAAAGATAATTTATGGCCTCTTGGGGTTGAAAATTAATTTTATATTTTATTTTAAAATTTCAAATCAGTATTTAATCAGTATTTTGTTTTTTAGCTTAAGTGAAGTATAATACAATAGAATTCAGTTATTTTATGTGTCAGTTTGATTTTTACTGACTATATAGTCATGTAACCTCCACCATAATCAAGGTCTGTCACCTAAAAAATTTTCTTGTGTTCTTTCCCAGGCAGCCACAGCTTTGCTTTCTGTCATTGTGGTTTTGCTTTTTTAGAATTTCATATAAATGGAACCTAGTAGTCTTTTGTGCTTGGTTTCTTTTACTTAGCATCATGGTTTTGAGATTGATCTATTTGTATGTATCAATAGTTTTTTCTAATTGCTGAGTAGTAGTACATACTGTGAATATAGCATAATTTGGTTCTCTCTCTACAAGTTGATGGATGTTTGGGTTCCAGTTTAAGTGTGTGAATAGTGGTGCTGTGTACATTTGTACACAGATCTTTGTATGGACATATTTTATTTCTCTTCAATATTTAGTTTTGGAGTAGGTAAACCTTTAAATGTAGTTGTACAACTTAATAATTTTTTTTTATTAAAATAGTCACTTTTGGGACGCCTGGGTGGCTCAGTTGGTTAAGCCGCTGCCTTCGGCTCAGGTCATGATCCCAGCGTCTTGGGATCGAGTCCCGCATCGGGCTCCTTGTTCTGTGGGGAGCCTGCTTCTCCCTCTGCCTCTGCCTGCCATTCTGCCTGTGTTCGTTCTCTCTCCCTCTCTCTCTCTGACAAATAAATAAAAATAAAATCTTTAAAAAAAAATAATAAAATAGTCACTTTTATGAATCAGTCATTCTCAAGGTGGCCAAGGGTCCTTTGACTAATACTGGTTTATTTAACTTATGTTGACAAGACTTTAATCCCAGTCAGCCTCATTTACAACTGTGTTAAATATCTTCTGGTACTTTAATCTGCATTTATAAATTTAATATATTCAGAATAGTTTTCTGTTTTAATCAATTCAATTTGCTTGACCTGACAAGTGAAGCAATCCCAGGCTTTTATATACAAAGCCTCAATTAGCCTGATAACTTAGATTTCCTCTGTTTATGTTTTAATTTATCACAAACAGTATTTTTATAACCTTTATAAAATTCTTAACGCTTTTCAACGAAAAAGTCCCAAGGTTAAGACCAGTTACTCAGTTACACATTTTAAATTGGAATCAGAGAACAAATCTATCATGTTCTTTAATGTGGCAGATTATTATAAATATTATAGGCATGGCGTGCTAAATAAGGATAGATTATTCCTAAATGTAATGAAAAATAAACAATAGTATTTGATTTATTTCATCTCTTAGATTCTGAATCTTTCTGGGGGTTAAAAAACATTAACTAAGGAAATGATTTTACTAGCCCAGGCAAGTTGGGGGGTTTCCATCTACACTGTTGAGGTCATTATAAGCCTGAGATTTTTTTTTTGAGACAAGCATTGGAGAATTGGGGCAGTAGGTATCCATAGTGACTCTCTGTCTTTGATAGACTTAAGGGGAGACTTGTATCTTCTGCAGAGGCCTTAATTTCAAAATCATGCCATTAACTCTTTTTTTTTTTTTTTCTGCTAAAGCTTTCATCCCCATTGAGATGGCCTTGGACTATTTGTGTTTAATCTGCTGACTTTTTGTAATTTTGTTCTGAATTCTTTTTATAGCATTCCTATCTCACCTCTGGCTACAATTCTCTCTCTCTTTTTTTTTTTTTGGAAGTGTGAAACAAAAACTGACAAGGGAGGACTGTACTTCTCATACAAAGTCTCTAAACCAAGCTAATGGCTTATGTATAAGGGGTTTAGGAGGTTCTGGCTGCAACTCTTATCGATACATTTAATACCATTTAAGATCAGAGATAGGTGGAAACACCTGGCTGGGTCACTCAGTGGAGCATGTGACTCTTGATCTCAGGGTCATTTAAGCCTCAAGGTAGTTTAAGTCCCAGATTGGGGGTAGAGCCTACTTATTTTTTAATTTTTATTTTATTTTATTTATTCATTCATTCATTCATTTTTAATTATTTTTATTTTTTTGAGAGAGAGAATGAGCAGGGAAGAGGGGCAGAGGGAGAGAGAGAGAAGCAGACTCCCTGTTGGGCAGGGAGCTCGGCTTGGGACTTGATCGGAGGACCTGGAGATCGTGACTCGAGCTGAAGGCAGACACTTAACCAACTAAGCCACCCTGGTGCCCCCTATTTTTAAAAAAAATTTTAAAAAGATTTTATTTATTTATTTATCAGAGAGAGTGAGAGAAGGATTGAGACTGAGCAACCAGGGGAGCAGCTGGCAGAGGGAGAAGCAGGTTTCCCACCAAGCAGGGGCCTGATGCAGGACTCACTCCCAGCACCCTGGGATCATGACCTGAGCCAAAGGCAGATACTTAACTGACTGAGCCACCCAGGTGTCCCTAGAGCCTACTTTAAAAAAAAAAAAAAAAAAAAAAAAAAAAAGGATCACAGGGCTGTCTTTGTCTCACAGCTTTTATTTCTGTCTCTGTGGTCACAACAGTAAATTTTTGTTCATGAGATTCCCCCCACAGTTATTTTCTTCTTTTTCCCCCTTCACATGTTGTACTATTGTGTATTTCCTTCTGTATTTAGCTTTTTTTTTTTACTTAACGTGTTTATCATGTTAAGTTGTTCTGTAATTGTTGTATTGTTGTATAATCATTGTCCCACTGTCATTTCCTTTCTGTGTCAGACTTTTAAATATTACTCTTTATTACAAAGATGTGGGTTTTACTTATAGGGAAAAATAATAAAAATGTAGATAAATAAAATAATGAAAAAGCGTCTGTATTCAGAGATGTCTTAGTGTATGTCCTAAACAGAGCTCTTCCTATATGTTTGTTGTATTTATTCTTAGGGAAAGGGGATATTATTATCCCCCCGCCCCCACTTTCCCTTTCCTCTTAAAACAACATGGTGACGTCTCTCAAGGTTGTACTTGTATGTCATAGTCCTTATAGTGACATGGTAGTCTTTTGTATGGCAGATCACACCACAGTTTAGTTTCTTTTGTAAATGTTTGGGATCTGTTCACAGTATTTTATATTAAGACCTTTTCTGGGTCAGACATTTTTATATTTTGACACACATTCCTTTTTGTCTTTTTTTTTTTTTTTAAAGTGGACTTCACACCCAGCATAAAACCCATGTGGGGTTTGAATTCACCATCCTGAGATCAGGACCCAAAGCTGAGATCAGGAGTCAGACCCTAAACCAACTGAGCCCCCCAGGCGCCCCTTTTTTGTCAGTTTCTATCCTGATTCAATTTCAGACTTGAAGAAAAGTTGCTAGTACAAAGAACTCCTTACCAGATTTACCGGTTCTTAATGATAGACTTTCTCTTGCTCTGTATGCATGTTGTTTAATTTCTTAACCATTTGAAAGTAAGTTGCATACATTATGCCCTTTTGCTTTTTAATGCTTCAGTGTATGTATTTCTTAAGAGCAAGGATATTCTCTTACAGTATACCTCTCAAATTCAGGAAATACAACATTATATGTAATATTTTAAATTTTAATCTATAGTCAGTGCCTATAATGTCCCTTACAGCAAAAATTCTTTCTGAAACAGAAAGAAACATGCATGTCACATAGGAAGCAGGATCACTAGGTGCCATTGAATTTTGAATGATTGGTTGTAGAAAAAAATGATTAGGTTTGAGTCTGTAGTGGTAAATACTGTGAAATGCTTAATTTATTTTCTTTTTGTGTTTACAGTACCCTATTGGAAATATCTAAAAATGTGGCTTTTGGCAGTAAATTCTTATTTTTCATGCCATGAGATTCTTTCAGACTTTATATGGGCCGGAGTCCTCGGTTCAAACGGACTTAGTTCCTCTTGAATTTCAATTTTATTTTATTTATTTATTTTTTTTTAAGATTTTATTTATTTATTTGTCAGAGAGAGAGGGAGAGAGAGCAAGCACAGGCAGACAGAATGGCAGGCAGAGGCAGAGGGAGAAGCAGGCTCCCTGATGAGCAAGGAGCCCGATGTGGGACTCGATCCCAGGACGCTGGGATCATGACCTGAGCCGAAGGCAGCTGCTTAACCAACTGAGCCACCCAGGCGTCCCTTGAATTTCAATTTTAAATACGAGATTCTAAATAAGGGAAAGGTCAGCAACCCATGAGATGTATCGCTGCTTTTTGGCAAATGTTGGAAGTTGAGCAGTGAGCTTATGTGCTGTTAGAGTAGGTATAATTTAAGACTTGTGGTCAAAACCTGACTTGACGTAGAGTGAAATTTTCTTGATCATGTTGTTTACTGTAAAGGATGCTCAGTGATGACATTAACGCTATCAAGTGAGTAATAGCTGTTTGTGACATTCTTAGAGGATACATTTTAGCTGGATAAATTATGCTTGGATAATGAAGAATCTTGCTCATCTTAAGGGACTGCATTCATTCTTTTTCCTTAAATGTAGCACTTGAAGCAGCAGTAGAGGTAAGGCAGCCTGCTTCCTATTTTTGAACAATTTCATTTCTGATTTTTTTCTCCTTGGGAAAGGAAAAGAAAGATATTTATAGCTTTGAGGGTTTGTTTTTCACAAATGCACAACTGGACCAATACTGCTTTGGGCTTAGTATTCAAAAAAGAACGGCTGTTTGTTTTCTGTCTTCATCTGAGTAGAAGGTTCATTGCATGTAACACATTGGACATTCATTTAGATGCTCTTACTGGTGCTCAGGAATATAGAGTTGGATCTGTTTTTGATGTGCACTAACACGGATTGATTGCAGTGACCGAATGACTAAAAATGAAGCCATTTTCTAGTCTGTGTCAGGCTTAATTTTTTTGAAATACATTCATTCCATTTGAAGAGAGAATAAAGCTAAGAAAAGGTGTGTGAATGTACTTTTTTTTTTGTAAAAATAAGGGATGGTTAGTTCTGTCTAATTATTTTTTATTTTTTTATTTACTTTTTCTTAAGATTTTGTTTCCTTATTAGAGAGTGCTCGAGTAGGCAGAGCTGCAGGCATAAGGGACAGGGAGAAGCAGGCTTTTTGCTGAGCAGGGAGCTGGATGAAGGGCTCGATTCCAGGACTCAGATCATGACCTCAGCTAAAGGCAGCCGCTTAACCGACTGAGCCACTAGACACCCTATGCACTTATTTTTTAAAAAAGATTTTATTTTTATTTATTTGAGAGAGAGAGAGAGAGAACACATGAGCAGGGGGAGGGGCAGAGGGAGAAGCAGACTCCTCGCTGAGCAGGGAGCCCAATGCAGGGCTGGATCCCAGGACTCTGAGATCATGGCTTGAGCTGAAGGCAGCCGCTTAACAGACTGAGCCACTGAGGTATCCTTCTTATTTTTTAAATTTATTTTTTGTTGTGTTTTTTTGGAGCTTTGATAGGCAATGTGTCAAATCTCCAGCCAGTGTGAGAGCTCAGGCTCTTAAGATTGAGAGAATTAAGGAGCTTGGCTGATTTTGTTTTCTTTAAGCCCATTCTTTTCTTAAATCTCTTCCATGTCTGTAATGATACATTCTACATGGTAATTTTAAGAAGTGAAAGTTACACTTCTAAGAGCATACCTTTAAAGCCTTTGACTCTGACCCTATCATATTGTTAGAGTAAGTATGCAATCAGTACTAGAGGTGGTGATGATGATTTTTATTTTTATTTTTTTTTGTAACCTCCTTCCTTTTTCCCTTTTCGTTTAATCTGTATTTTAATCTTCGTATTGTCCTGAAGGTAGATACCTTTTTTGTCTGCTCACAATGTATTGCTCATTCAAGTGGCAGTAACAGTGATGTCTTTAATTATCATGTTTTGATAGCTACCCTCAATTCTTGTATTTTCTCTCAATGCTGGAAAAAAAAATTTCACTGGCATACAAAATATTTAACTCTCCTTTTCCCTCCCCTTTAAAAGTTCTTTATTGTGGTAAAATAGATAAAATGTAGAATTTGTCATTTTAACTTTTTTTTTTTTTTAAGATTTTATTTATTTGACAGAGAGAGATCACAAGTAGGCAGAGAGAGAGGAAGGGAAACAGGCTCCCCGCTGAGCAGAGAGCCTGATGTGGGGCTCGATCCCAGGACTCTGGGATCATGACCTGAGCTGAAGGCAGAGGCTTTAACCCACTGAGCCACCTGGGTGCCCCATTTTAACTATTTTTTAAGCGTACAGTTCAGTAGCACTAGGTACTTAACTATTCTTTTAAAACATAGGACTGCTGTAGTTCATTTTCAAAATTGAAGTGTTAAACCCTGTCCTGGCAACTCCTTCCCTCCCCTCATGGTTTTAGAAATGTGTGTAGATACTTTTAAAAACTTTATATCTGGAAATAATTTTCAGGTCTACAGAACAATTGGGAGAATTGTACCAGGAGCCTCCATACACCGTTTAACCAGATTTACCAATCTGTATTTTGCCCTATTTGCTTTATTATTCTCTTTCAATGTAATATGCACATGAATTTTTTTCCCTGAGCTGTTTGAGAGTGAGTTGACCGCATAGCCATTTAGTCTTGAATAAATATGTATTTCCTAAGAATGGAGACATTCTTGTGTAATAGTAAACAACTTACGGAAATTTAACATTGATACAGAATTTGAATCTAACATCTCTGTCTCTGTTCTAGCTTTGTCAGCTGAGCCAAGCCCAGTATTTTCTGCTTTAAGTACAGGATCATGTATAGCATTTAGTTGTCATGTCTTTTTAGTCTCTTAATTTGGATCAGTTCTTCAGCCTTTTTTTGGTCTTTCATGACATTATTTTTGTAGAATACAGGCACGTCTTCTCCCTCTCCTCCCCTTATAAAACGTTCCCCATGCTTTGGATTTGGTCTGTGTTTCCTCAGATTAGGTTCAGATTATGTATGAAATAGTACATTGGGGATGTGTCTTTCTCAGGATATAAATCTAGGGGCACACGATATTCATCTGCCACTCAACTGATGATGGTAATTTTAATGACTCAGTCAAGGGCATGTCCAGTTTCCTGGCAGTATAGTGCCATTCTTCCCCTTGCAGGTTTATCGACAGTCTTTAAGACCATACACATATTCTTATTTTCCCTAGGATAATCCCCACAGATTATCCCCACAGATGTGGCATCCATTGATTCTTGCCAAGTTATTTTTTTAATAGGTACTTTCATTTTCATATACTGGTGTTAATGCACACAGTAACTAAGCCTGTGCATATGCTTTGGTAATCATGATGGGCAGTGGATTGTGTCAGTGGGGTTTCACTGAGGTTTTTGTTTCCTTAGATGGTTTCACTATGATTATTTCTTAAAAAAAAAACCAAAAAAAACAAATTTATTTATTTATTTAACATTTTACTTATTTACTTGACAGACAGAGATCACAAGTAGGCAGAGAGGCAGGCAGAGAGAGGGAGAGAGGAGGAAGCAGGCTCCCTGCCGAGCAGAGAGCACCCGATGCGGGGCTCGATTCCAGGACCCTGAGATCATGACTTGAGCCGAAGGTAGAGGCTTTAACCCACTGAGCCACCCAGGTGCCCCTCACTGTGATTATTTCTTAACTAGATCTGAGTAGGATTGATTTTAACCATTTCTGTAGCAATAGCTTACTGTTTTTATTACGTTATCATTGGGTTGCTGATGGACACAAAGATTGGAAACTACAAACTGGTAACAGTAAACAACTAATGCACAATGGATTTATTGCTGTTTTCAGGGATTGAAATACTGAGTTAGCTGAGTAAGAACGTTCATCAAGTATTATATTACAAAAGCCACACATTTTATTAGATTAGTAAGTTGCTTTCTCAGTAATGGTCAGCGTGCTGTTAGCTGCATGCTTACTCTGTGACTGACTTGTGATTTTGATACTGTGAGGATGCCAAGATTCAGTTGCTGACTTCTCCAATTTTTTCCCTCCAGGGCAAGAGGATTATGACAGATTACGACCGCTGAGTTATCCACAAACAGATGTATTTCTAGTCTGTTTTTCAGTCGTCTCTCCATCCTCATTTGAAAATGTGAAGGAAAAGGTGAGTTGGTCAGATACTCTTGCACTGAAAAAGGTGGTTACAGAACTTCTGTTGAGTTGTGTAAAGCTTTAGAGGCTTGTGGATTAATGCAGGTGTATTTTTAAAAATACTTTTCTCTAGTGGGTGCCTGAGATAACTCACCATTGTCCAAAGACTCCTTTCTTGCTTGTTGGGACCCAAATTGATCTCCGAGATGACCCCTCTACGATTGAGAAACTTGCCAAGAACAAACAGAAGCCTATCACTCCAGAGACTGCTGAAAAGCTGGCCCGTGACCTGAAGGCGGTCAAGTATGTGGAGTGTTCTGCACTCACACAGGTGAGGACAGAGTAGGCCCTTGTTTACTTACAGTTGGGTAGTTTCTTAAGAGTATTCGGGTTTGGGGGCTATTTTTAACAGTGGTCTGCAGTGCTCAAGAAAGCTGCGGGGAAGACTAGGACCAGCTTCATAGTATGTATTCTTTTGGTAGAGGTTCTGTGTTTGTGGAGAAAATTACTAAGCTCTGAGTAAAACTCTGTGTTGGTGAACTCCTGTATTGTACTGACTCATTTGTAGTGGTCAGGGATTGTGTTAAAATTTTTTTGTGGGTGGGTTCCAGATTAGCACTGATTTGCAAGAGAGTAGGTGAGTGATCCCCCCCACTGGCCCCCCGCCCCCGACACTTAAATTTTTATCTAAATGCATCTGATCTTTCCTGTCAATTCTGATCGCTGATGTTATAGTTTCTGGGGTAATTCAACTGACATCGGGAATTAGTCATAATAATTGAGACCCTCATGTCAGAGAAAGCTCCCTTGGCTATTTCTCAAGCATGCTTTATAAAAGGGCATCAGTGCTTGTGTATTTAGAGACATTCCTTCCCCATGTGGTCCTCTCTGTCCTTCTGTCCCTTTCTGAATAATTTAATTGGGCTCTTCTAGTTTGATGGGAAACACCAGATTCTGAGGTTAGGGAACAGTGTTAGAGTATTTCGAGTGGGAGCTATAACTGACCTGTGGGGTTTCATCTTTTCCATCTTCATGGTATTACTGACCGATTCTCCCTTTGAGTACTGTTCTGGGGGCAAAGGAAAAAATTATGGGAATAGCACAGAACTATTTTATTATTCTATTGGTACTGGAGCTCTGAGGTTTGAACATTGAGCAAGCATGTCTAGTTAAAATAGGGCAGAGCTAGGGTGCCTGGGTTGCTCAGTGGGTTAAAGCCTCTGCCTTTGGCTCAGGTCATGATCTCAGAGTCCTGGGATTGAGCCCTGCATTGGGCTCTCTGCTTGGCAGGGAGCCTGCTTCCCTTCCTCTCTCTCTGCCTGCCTCTCTGCCTAGGTGTGATCTCTGTCTATCAAATAAAAAATAAATAAAAATTAAAAAAAAAATAGGGCAGGGCTAAAGAGGTTTCCAATAATTACATTAAATATGCTTACATTTATCATGCTTACTCGTTTAGGTAATTGCTCTTTTTATTAAGTTTTTTTAAAAAACACTATTGTATTCTTATTGTATGTATACTAAGGCAAATGGCATATATAATTAACCTAGTATGCATGTACTAGGTGCTTAGTATGTGTGGCCTAGACTTAATTTAATAATCTCGAATTCAGTGCCAAGTTGGATATTTAAAGATAAAATTTTTATGGTTAACTGGGTATTCTGCAGGATGACTTCAGGTCTAAAATCGTACTCCCAGACCCAGTTTTCCTTGGCAGTTCAGTCCTGTTATAAAAGCAGATATTTTAAAGTTCAGAAGATTTTATATCCTCTTATCCACAGCACTGACTGAGATTTAAAAAAAATGCCTGATGGTTCTGTGTTTTGATACCATCAGAAGAGTGAGAAGGTTTGTGTGTGTGTGTGTGTGTGTGTGTGTGTGTGTGTGTGTGAAGGATATATGTGAAACGCATGTGTCAGATTATAACTAACTCTGTTAGGCATCCTTCTATACCCTTCTCCTCCAAGTATGGGTTGCTTTTGGGGGGAATGGAGGCAAATAGACCATGTGGACCCAATTCTAGGTCACTGGTAAAGTTTAAAGAATTGGATGCTTCCATTTAAGATTTTTTACAAGGTAAATACGTTTATACAATAAGTCACTTGGCAGATAGTAGGAATTTGAAAAGGTCTTAGCAACTTTTTTTTTTTTTCTTACCAGATTTTGATGTTTGGAGAAGTCAAGAGAGAAGATAGAAAATGGGGTGTCTGGTTGTGTTTGTGAGATAGAACTTTTAGGACTCCAGATTCCATTTTTGGTTCCTCTAAAACTGAACTCTTTTTATGATCAGATAGTATGGGTAAAGCAAAGATTAGTTTCATTATAGAGGGGATTAGTTATCTTTGTCCTTAAGCAAGAAGGGATTTGCTTTTTATGAAGGGGCGCCCTAGTTTCTCATGGTCATCCTCTTTTTTTCCCTTATAAAATGCACTTCCCTATCCATTGTCCCCTTTTCCTTTTGTATTTGACTACCAGAACTTGCTCTGAGATGTGTAGAAAGAATTTCTAGGAACTTTGCTTTTGTTTAGCATTTCTACTTTGTAAAAGTCCTAGAAGAAAACTTTTTAACCTCTTTGCTTCTTCTTAAGTACTTAATGTTATTTCTCATTTATTTTCTATCTCAAGGGATGTGTGGGTGCCCATCTTCTGGGATGTGTGCAGGGTTGGGTGGGAATACCTGGGGTAGTCTGGGGCTGGTGCTTGTTACTGGAGCTGTGTTCTGGGACTTAACGGGAGATTTTTACTTGGGATCAAACTAACGTAAAGAACACGTGAAACCTCTTTGGGTGGTAAACCTGTGGCTTCAGATTTAGGTGAGTTTAGGTGAGTCTATAGACCTGGGCCCAAGGTTCCAGTGCTACTGAGTCACAGTGTCACGTCGGAGTTCTGCCTGAGGTGTAAGTGTGTTTCCGCATCTTAATCCCTGTAAGATCCGAGAATATTCTTTATTTCACCCCATGCTTTATGCTCTGATATCCATGAAGACATCTTAAAGCATTTGACTGCTTGCTAAAACTCATTCTAGGACCCCATTCTTTGTTTTCCTATGACTTGGGTGGTGGTTACTTGCTCTAATAACATTACTGAATAACTGAAGCGTGTGCTGTTTCTAGAGTCTGTTCCTTAACTTCTCCCAGGTGGTACTGTTGAACAATTAACACTCTTTCTAAACGTCTGAACCATTTTGTTCCGGGAAACTGATTTGCTCTAAATCCTGGTTAATCCCATCCAGATATGTCCTTGAATCTAGAAACACGTAGCGCGCCTGTGAGTCTGCTGTTTGTGTCCTTCAGTTATTCAGGGGCTGAATTCACACAAGCCTGAAGTTGTGATTGATTTAGTTTCAGAACGTGTGTGCCATTCTTCTCATTGGAGATACTGGAGAGTTCTACAAGGCTTATCCAGTGCCTCTGTTTTGTTTACATATCCATTTTTTTCTTCTGGCATTATTTTCATTAAAATACAGTTTTTTCAAAATGCTATTATTTTAGGAGTCAGTGTACAGCATTTTCATAAAAATTGCTTTCTTGCTTAGTTAAGCTTTTTTATGTAGGAAGTTTCTGTTCATCTATCTACTGTCCTGATAATGGGCTTAAGATCTAGCTTTCTGGCCCTTACTCTTCTGAAGGAACGCTGCTTCTGTGAATTCAGCCCATGTAATCCGGATTGCTGTTGTATCTGCTCGTCTTTCTAATCCTCTAACCTGGCTGCTGTTCTCTCTCCTCCCCTCTGTCTTGTAGAGAGGTCTGAAGAATGTGTTTGATGAGGCTATCCTAGCTGCCCTCGAGCCTCCGGAAACTCAACCCAAAAGGAAGTGCTGTATATTCTAAACTGTTTCCTCCTTCCCCTCTTTGCTGCTGCTTCCTGTCCCACTACTGTAGAAAGAGCATTTAAAAACAAAGGAATAAAACCATCCTGTTTGAAAGCCTCTGCGTCTTTTTACTCACCACCTAAGAGCAACCTCTGTATTAGTTTTTGATCAAGAATGCAATATCTTATAGAATATTTTTTGTGATCAGTAGTCAAGTTGGACTTGTTTAACTTTCTGCTTCTTGAGTTGCCTGATGCTCAGAGCTTTTGGTTTGGATTACTATTGCAAAAGGGAACTTGGTGTGGCATTAAGAATGTTCTCTTGGAAAAAAACTGGAGTTTTAACACTTCCTAGCTCTAGATGGAGAAAAGAACATGAACATCATTTTACTCTTATGATCAATTGTAATTGTAATTGCATGACAAACTTTATGGAAGAAGGGTGACCTGCTAGTAGAGTGTAATGGGGAAGGGAGGATTCTTTGGTTTTCTTTTGTGCAGTGAAACTTTGTGTTGCTATTGCTTTGGCTGTCTGTGCTGTGGTGGAGTATTTGTCAGTCTGGGGTGGGAAAGGTATTAATGTATCTGCTACTGCTCTATGAAATCATTTGTCACACTATCTTTTAAGAACAGCATCCATTTTTAACAGTTGACTCAAGGTTTGTTAATGTTGAGATGTAAAGCTGCCACCTTTATATTTTCCTGCTTCTGATTTTATTGTTGTGAGGGAAACATACAATTGTGGTTACCTTCGAATTTTGAAATTAAAAATATACAATTGTTTGTATAAATGCCTGATGAAGCTTTATTCCTGTTGCACTGACTGGTTCTAGCTTTACCTATGTATCAGGTGCCCACATGTTGCTTCCTTGAGCCCCCTGGCTCTGTCTGATTGGTGGGATGCAGGGAGTTCAGAGTGAAGGTCTTTGACGCAGCCGCGGTAGCCGTGCTGTCCATCCTTGCCTGCGCCTTCCATGTAACAAGGATGCCACTGCCCGCTGCCAGCGCTCTTGGTCGTGTTCCATACTCCGCTGTTTCATTGGAATGCAGAGCTGCTGCCCTTGTGTTTATGTAAAATGTTTCAGCAGCATATTACACAACTCATTGAATGAGCAAGTGACACATGTGGCTTGTTCGCTTCTTGTGACATACATTGGTCTGCAAAAAGCTTTCTCAGAGGACCACTGTCTCATTCATGAATATCCACTCCTCTGCTCCTGAATTGCTGGATCCTTCCAGTGTCCTGCCTGGACAAAACTTGGTGAAGTGGGATGATTGTGTCGAGATTCAGAGTTGTTCTTAGCATTTCGTTCTTTGCCGGCTCTTGGGGGCTTGAATGTTTTTAATTTGATCTTCAGCTTTATTATACTGAAAATCAGACTGCCCATTTTTTTCTTTCTACCCCTTTTCAGAAAGGCCTAAAGAATGTATTTGACGAAGCAATATTGGCTGCCCTGGAGCCTCCCGAACCGAAGAAGAGCCGCAGGTGTGTGCTGCTATGAACGTGTCTCCAGAGCCCTTTCCGCACAGCTGGTGTCAGCATCATACTAAAAGCAATGTTAAATCAAACTAAAGATTAAAGATTAAAATTCGTTTTTGCAATAATGACAAATGCCCTGCACCTACCCACATGCACTCGTGTGAGACAAGGCCCGTAGGTATGGTCCCCTTCCCCCTCTCAGTACTAGTTAATTTGAGTAATTGTGTATTGTCAGAAAAGTGATTAGTACTAGTTTTTGTTTTGTTGTTTCAAAAAAAATTTTTTTTTTTTTTTTTTTTTTTTTTTTTTTTT